CAAAGTAACTCTCTTCGGTTGCAGCAGTGTGCACTTAAATGTCAGAGCTTTACTGAAAAACCGCTTGGGTTTGAAGGAAGTCATTGTGTTCAGTAAAATCTGGCTACATTTTATGTTTATGGCCTTTATTAGGGGATCCAGCTGAGAGAGTTAAAACCGCCTCTCTACAGTTAGTGAAAGCTCAGGACTCTGATTGCCGGAGCCGCTCATTCAAAAACTGTCACCGAATATACACCAAATGCCCAGTGCTGCCGTGTACAATGTGATCCTGATCTACCTGGGGCGTATAGTCTAGCGGGGCAGCGTGGAGACATTGAAGGAATAAATTCTTCAATAGAAGGATTGGGAATAAGTGTTATTAAGAAAAAGAGTGGGGCACTAAAAGTATTCAGAGGGAATCTAATTTAGACTGGGTGGGTCAAAGAAGGTAATATTTGAGCTGGGTAACTGGTGGGAGGAAATTATTCCAGAAAGATGGAATAGCAGGTGCAAAGGCACAGAGACAGGAACGAACTTGTTGTGGTCAAGAAACATGCTGCCCAGTGCGCATCCAGAGGTCCAGCCCGGAGATGAGATGCATCAGGTATCCTCAGTGCCTGTGGGACTAGCGCATGCCTCACTTGTTATGACAAGCCGAGGTCACATGCACCCTGTGTAAAAATTCAGTTCTGCGTCTTGGTAGTTGCTTCCTGTGCCCTGTGACCTCACCTGCTTTCTTGGTTACTGGCCCTTGGCCTTCATTTCTCAGCCACCTGTTTGGTTCTCCCCTGCCCTCCCTTCTCTTGGCATCCCCACCCCTTGGAACTTGCAACGCTAAGCCGTCATCCTGTCTCACATCTTTGCCCTCCACCCAGTGGCCCTACTTCTCTGGCACAATTCCTCCTATCTGTAGCCTCCATCTGGTTTGGGTCTTGCTGTGTCATGTCAACCATGGCATACATGTCCCAGCTCCTTTCTCTCACTTTCTCATCCCCTGCCCCTCCCAAGCCTCCATGGAAGTTACATGGCGTCATCTTTCACAAGGGCCAAACACCAATGATTTTCTTTCCTATCCTTTGTCCATCATCCAGGAGAGGGTCTCTGAGATCAACTGTGGGTAAGACTTTCAAGAATCTGCCCGTGTCAAGCCATTGGTCAGCAAAATCACTTGTCACGGGGGATCAACGAGCACAGGTTTTCTCTTGTTTATTTCAGTGTCATTGGGCTGGGTCCAGAAGTGGTGGGGTAACACACATCTGCTCCAACACCCAGAAGCTGCCAGGAACCCACAGGCTGCGTCCAAGGCAGACCTCTCTCTAGAAGCGTTCCTTTTCTCAGAAAGGAGGAGAGCGCAGATGACCTCCAGGTCCCATTCTCTAAGGAGGAGCCTTGTGCGCCCCTCCCCGCTGAGCCGGGCACTCCGGAAGTTAGCCAGTCTGTTGTTTGTTGGGCATCAGCCAGATGCATGAGTCCTCTGTGTCGTTTGTTCCCTGAAGATGGATGTATAAAAGGACCCAAATAGCAGCAATTATAATGGTTATTATAAAATAATAATAACGGGTGCAGACTGAGGGCTTACAATATTCTGGGCATTATGACAGGGCCTCCCTGAGCCCAATGCCCAGTGCAGCAACCACTGTCATGCACGTTTCATAGACGAGGGGTTAAGTACCCCAAAGGTGCCACTCAGCCAGCACACGGTAGAGCCAGAATTGACCTAGATGTCCTGTCCCTACCTCCTTGACAGCCATGCATATGGTCCTCACGCTGAGGCGGGCACAGGCTTGAACACGTACCCATACTCCATCCCCCTCTTCCATTGGGCAAAACTGAGGCTTGGGAGAAGTAACCTGCCAAAGGTGACACAGCAGCAGGTGACAGAGGTAAAAAAATTGGAATTCAGTTCCTGCTGGCTCCAAAGCTGTGCTTTAAAAGAGTACGTGCCACCCCCACCCGCCGAGTTGCCCACCTCTGCTGGAAACCTGTGATCTGTCCTGGGCACCATTTTGCACACGTCTAAAGAAGAATCTGGTGAAGAGCTTGAGAACATTTTGAAAAAGGGAAGGAGATAATTGAACAAGCAAGTACAAGAGTGCTGTGATCGGGAAAGACACGGCAGGGACGATGGAGCACGACAGGCTAACCTAGCAGAAGGGGATGCAGTGATGTGATGCTGAACTGACACCCCAAGGATGAGTTAGGGGAAGCAGGGCGGGTCGGATACGTAATTGCATGTGCAGAAGGCCAGAGGTGAGAGAAAAGCCGGCATGCTGGACAAAGTAAAAACATCTCAGTGAGGCTGCAGCATAGTGTATGGGGAAGCAAGCATGAGGCTGGAGGGGTGGGCAGGGGCTAGACCCCAGGAGCCTCAGGGGCTGTGCTGGGGAGGGCGAGATGCCGGGGTGGGGGTGGAGGGAACACCTGGTTCAATTTACACCTCCCAAAGATTGCTCTGGCTGCTGGGGGGAGAGCAGACTGGAGGAGAAGGCAGGAGGGGGATCAAGTTGTCTGGAGCTGTTGCCGAGGCCAGAGGGGACGTGACTTGAGGGAGATCTGGACAAGGGCAGTGGCTGCGGGCCAGGGAAAGGGGAGTGGATTCAAGAGCTCACCAGTGAGTCCCCATCACTCCATTCACTGTGGGCCAAGGGAACATGGGAGGTCTAATCAGAGCCCACCTCTCTGATTAGAACTAGGAGATGCGCCCGCTCTAAGATGAGTCGTGAACTGACTCCTTGAGAAACAGGTCTCATAATAAAAGAGCTTTGTTATGAATCATGTTCTGGGTTGTGTTGCTGAGATATGTCAAGTAATAGCCTCCGTTCCACTTGCAAAAAGAATAATTACCCTGACTCTTTGTGTTGTCAATAACATCTTCCCAGTATTCACAGGCTTTCACTGAAAATCAGAGCAAAGTGAATTGGAAATCAGTACGATCCCTAGAATGTGTAAGTTGTGGAAATGAAGGTGCACAGCCTGGAGCCTTCCATAGCTCCCTCTCCTGGTCCCCGGGACCACCCCTGGTTGTGGGAACTACTGTCAAAGCATGGTCACCATGGGAAGCACTGGCTCTTTCTGGAGCTTTGCTGGGGGTCAGGCAGATCCTTTTGTCTTCAGCCTAGCTGTGCGGTCTTGGGCAAGGCAGAGCCTTTAGTCTCAGTTTCCTCATTTGGAATTGGAGACAAGAACAGCTACTTCACAGGTTATTCTGGAGATTCTGCTGTATAATTTGTGTAGTAATAGCTGAGGCTGATGGAGTGCTTATTATGTGCCAGGCATTTTTCTAAGCATGTTGCATATAATCCCTCTAATCTTCTCAACAGCCTCATGAGATAGGTACCATCATGATCGCCGGTTGAGATGGGGAAACTGAAGTGCAATGAGATCAAATGACTTACCCAAGGTCACATAGCTGGTATGAAACAGAGCCAGGCTTTGAACCCAGGTAGTGTGACTCCAGACCCTCTGCTCATAACGGCCATGCTGTACTGCCTCCCCATATATGCAGTCCAGGGCCTGGTCCATAGCAGATGCTCACCAGGAATGCTTGTTTCCTTCCATTGGCCCCAAATAATATACTGAATGCAAGATAAGCATAGAAAGTGGTAAGTCAGTCAATCGCCTTCCCATTCTAACAGGCTGTGGGATCCACTGGAGTGAAATAGACTAGTGGAAGAGATGGTATTCTCTTCCTAACTAACACAGGGAGAATTAAGCTAAATCCAAAGCTGAGCTTGTCTTGGATGGAAACCTATGTTTGTTGATGGGTACATGTTGAAAGTGTGAATGTTATCTGCCAAATTGTCCTGTTGACAATACCTGACAAGTGACCACTGCTGTCCACCAAGAGATGTTGATTGCTTTCCCTCAGAAGTCTCATTCATCAACTCTGACCAGGTATTTCAGATTCATCCCACATTTATTAAGCATCAACCATTTATTGACTGATTAAGCATCAAACATTTATATATTTATTGCACAGGTATTTACAAAGTACCTATGTGTACCAGGCCTTGTGTTACATGCTAGAGATGAGAAATGAATGAGATGAGGGTTCTGCCCTCCAGGAACACAGAGTGAGGGAGCCAGGCTGACCTATCAGCAAGTGAGTTGTGATATCAGGAGCTTTGAGGGCCAGAGGAGGGAGCAAATGGTTCTGCCCCGAGAATTGAGCAAAGACCCCACAACAGAGGGGTCATGTGGCCAAGATCTTGAGAGATATTTTTCCAGCTGAAGAAGGAGTGAGGAGGGCATTCTAAGGTTACAAATAGAGTGGGAAAAAGCCTAAAAGCACAAAAGGATGTGCACGTTCCAGAACATTGAAAGTTCAGAGTAGCTGGAATGACTATGGCAAGAGTTCCAGGACACTGTCCCTCAACACTCAGAATTCAAGGTCACTTTTCTTTATTTTTCAAAATCAAACTGCATCAGGTTTAAGCTTGTACTCACCAAGGTCAGTGAGAAGTTTCCTATCATTCCCTTCCTTGCAGCCCCCTCTCCCTGGGGTTCTATCAGAACTCAGGGCCCCAGAAGGATAGAGTAGGAGAAGAGCACCTGGCACTCTCCTGCGGTGATCGCTAATCCATGTCCAGGCCCAGATGGTCCATTTTAAGATGACATCTCCGCCGGGAGTCTCTGCTGGTCCCTCCATGTCAAGCACTGCTGCAAAGAAAATTATCAAGGGTTTTGTTAACATCTCCCCCAGGGGCAAGCAGAACCCAGATCTTTGATCACAAAATGTCTGGTCTCTTCTTCAGGGGAGTGGAAAGGATGGAGAGAGAAGGAGCACTAATTGTTTGCTGGAAAATCCACAGCAACAAGAAACAAGACATGAATTAATGACTCAATAACCTTCTTGCTCTAGGAGTAGAATTAAGGTACAGCTTGCTCCCTTTACAGGCCATGGTCTGAAGAGACAAGGTGAAGAGATTTGTCCGTGCTCGTGTTGAGTGGTCAGCTGTGGTCTGCTTTAGAGGCTCAGAGTCGGGTGTGGGCATTGATGAGTGGCTCCATGTCTTCTGCAGGTGTGGCAGTGTGGCGGGAGTGTGGAGGTCCTGCCCTGTTCCCGGATTGCCCACATTGAGCGAGCCCACAAGCCCTACACCGAGGACCTCACCGCCCATGTCCGCAGGAATGCCCTCAGGGTGGCTGAAGTCTGGATGGACGAATTTAAAAGCCATGTCTACATGGCATGGAACATACCCCAAGAGGTAGGAAGCCCCCAGGGAGATGGGTTTCTTTGGGTTTGGTGGGAAAAAGCAAATAAACAAAACATCAAATTAAACCCTTCTTCCCTTGCGCAGCCAGAATCTTGTTTTCTGTGCTAGAGTGAACTCTCAACCCCCAAAGACACTACCTGTTGAAGAAAAGGGCCTGACTGTGAGGCATAAGCCATGTCTTATCCCACCCTCTTCTCTGGTCAGCATGCTTGAAGGAGGACTTCTCTCTGAAAGGGTCTTCATTTGAAATGAGAAAAGTGGACCAAATGGCTCCAAGGTTCCTTCCTGCTCCCAGGGCCTCAGCTTCTCTGACATAAGGTGTTTCATGGTCCTAGATTACAAATTTACCAGTAATTACCAAAATTACAAAATGTACCTTAATCTCCCTGTAGACTGGATTCAAGCTTCTCTGTTGAACTTTTGACCAGAGCAATAAGAAATGTCCGTATGCCTCTGAGATTTCCAGAGCCACATGGATGGGGATGGGATACACTCCCACAGGGAGCCTCAGGAGGAGAAAGGACCTATTTTGGACATTGTTTAGGCTGCTTCTAACCTTCACAGAACTCGTCGTTGCCTGCCGTTGTCCTCTGTCCCTCTAGTCACCTACACTTACAAAGTGCAAGACAGAAAGCAACGTTTCTTTAGTAGTTTTGTTCAGCTTTGCCATGTGTCATATGGAAATGACCTTGGACCACTGAGTTGGGAGAACCCAGCAGATGTCAGCCACAGGATCCCAACCTGCTTACCAGCCTGTCTGCCTGGAGATCATTGCTTACATTGCATTCTATGTGAGACAAGAGCTGTTGACTGCATGACCTTCTTCTTTCCTCCCAAGGCCATGGCTTCCCTTTGAGAGTTCTTTAGAAAGTGTCAGCTCTCTCTTCCTAGTAGGGAAATAATTGATCTTTGCTTAAAGTTTCCATATGAACGCCCTGTTCCCTGATCTCTCCACCAAGCCAATGTTGCTCTGGCTGAGTGATTGAGAAAGTAGGCTGGGCCTTTAGGCAACCCCACCATCACCACCACCACCACCACCATGGGGGCAAGGGGAGCTTGAGTTGGGTTGCATATTCCTACAACCAGTGAGATTTCAGTAGTTGGGAGGAAGAATGAAGAGCCAAGGCGTGTCAGCCGGATTGCGGCCAACTCTGATGAGCCAGCCCCGGAACGCGTCCCTGACAGTGGGAGTGTTTCTAGGGAAACAGCGGTGCCTTCTAGACCCATCTGTGGCTGTGGGCGTTGGATTACAGTATTCTCGGAAGGATACTGAGCCCCGTTGTTGGTGTCCTCTGATAGCAAAATCGAGAACATTTGGAAACTCCCCAGGAGCTCACCAGTGAAGCATTGTGGATCCCCAGGCCCTGCTAAAGGACTGGGGTCCTCTCCGTGCTCCTACCCTCTTTTCTCTGCACCCCAAATCTGCAAACCTTCTAGCCCTCTCCCCCCATTGCAGCTGCCATATTTGAAATAGACAGCAAATCCAATGAGTAGTAGAGAACTCAGTGGGTTCAAATAATTGCAAAATGATGAAACTCAGTGTCTGTCTGTGACTTCTCAGAGGCTTAGTTCAAACCAAGTCAAGTGGGTGGGAGGAGGAAGGGCGTGAACACAAGAAAGGCAGACGAGAGGTGGAAGTGTTCAGGATAAGGACTTAGGTGGAGAAGGAAGGGGTCAGTAGGTTTCCTCTTGACCTCCCCCGCCCCCTCCCCGCCCCTCCTGCCCCATTTCCTTCTGTGTCCAAACTCCCTCTTCTACGTTTTTCAGAGTTCTGGAAAGAGTCAACACTTTTCCACCTCCCATTCACTTCTCAAGTCACATCCCAGTACTACATTGAAATTGCTTTTGACAAAGTCATCATGGGCCTCCTGCCTGCCTAATTTAATAGACATCGTAAAGTCTTTAATCTACAGGACCTCACCTTTTCCTTGAAACTCCTTATTCCCTTGGCTCTGTGATTCCACACCCCAGAACATCCTCATCTCTCTCAACTGCTCCTAACTCCTTGCGGGAAACTCTGACTTCCCCTGGATGTAAGTGCCCCCCAGGAATCCATCCTGGGCTGACTGCTCTCATTATACTCATCTCTCTGGCTGACCCCATCTACCCTTGGATTCTAGCACCTACACGTTGAGGACGTCCTAATTAATATGGCCAGCCCCAACTTCTGCCCTTAGCTTCAGGCTTACAGCCTCACGTCTTCTCCTGGATGTTCCCGCAGGCCCTTCAGGCTGAATCTGACCCAAACTGAGTACATCTTTTTTCCCTGCAAATCTGCTCCTGTTCTTGTGCTCTGTCTCAGATCATGCTACCACCATCTGCCCAGACATGAGCTGAAGGCTGAGCATCTTCCTTTAATCCTCCTCTCCCTGAGTCCCCATCCCCAGCCCATTGCCAAGCCCTCCTCTCCAGTCCCAGCTCCTCTCACGTCTGAGTTCAGGCCTTGTCTCTTCCTCTGCAACAGCCTCCCACTGGGTTCCCTGGCTCAAATCTCACCCCCCCTCAAACCTGTCTTCCACACCCGAAGTTACCTTTTAAAAAACTCACAGCGACCGTGTCATTGCCCTGCTTAAAATCCTGAGATCACTCTCCATTGTGCACAAGATCAGGCATAAAGTCTAATGTTTGACACAGATCTAAGCTTTCTCCTCTGCCCACCTCTTCCAGCCCCGCCCGCCACCATCCCTGTTCTGGAGTCTCTGTTCAGAGACTACAAGAGCTGCCCGTAGCTCCCCGTCCTGATCGTGCGTTTCTCACCTCTGTGTGTTGGCTCACTTTGTCCTCTCTGCTTGGAATTCCCTACCCAAACCTTCTTCCCCAGCCTCTACCCTTACCAATTCCTCTCCATCCTTTCAGATTTAGCTTTGGTGACCTCTCCTCTAGGAAGCCAGCCCCAGATGGGGAGAACGCCCCTTTTCGCATGCATGTCTGTGTCATTGCATCACCACCCTGTAAAAGAATGTTCTGTTGTCTGAAAGTCTCTCTCTCATGAGACCAGTGGCTCTCAAATCTGGCTGAACTTTAAAATCACTTGGTTTCTAGCCCCAGAGATTATGACTTAATTGGTTTGGAAGGGGACCCGGGATCCTTTTTTTTGGAAAGCTCCTTGGAGATTTCAATGTCCGTCCAGGGCCGAGAGCCACTGCACTAGACTGTGGGCTCCCCGAGGACAGATTGTGTTATTCATATTTGTGTCACCATGCCTAGCACAAGGCGGGGCACATGGCCGCAGCTCAGTGAAACCTCACTGATGCTTATTAACTAGGGAATCTGCTGGCCTTGTGTGTAATCCCTTTCTCCCTTGGTCAGTGGCTCCTAAAAGCAGATCAGCAGACCAACTGCATCAGAATCACTTGCAGAGCTTTTGAAAATACTGGTTCTGGGTCTCATCTGCAGAGATTCTGATGAGGAAGTGTGTAGTGGAGCCAGAATCTGCAAAAAGCTCTCCAGGTGCTAGTTTGGGGCAGCAAGGTTTGGGTAACACTAGTTTAGCTAATCCTGCACGTCTTTCCAAACTCATCTTTAGCATCACCTACTCCAGGAAGCCCTCCTTGACTGCTCACTTCCACCTCCTTACCATCCCTGCCACCCCACACCATGAGATCGACTAAGGGCCCCTCCTCTGTTGTCCCTTAGCATTCTCTGCTCCCCTCCCTGCTTCACACTGTGTGCAGAGAGTCTGTTTACTTGTCTGGATCTTCCTGACTCTCCTTTCAGCCACGCTGCAACTTCTTCCTATGTGTATGCACAGTTCTTAGGACAGCACCTGACACATACTAGGCACTCAGTAAAGATGAGCTGAAAAAGAAAGAAGAGGGAGGAAGCGTGGATGCTGCCCGTGATGTGGCAGAATCCCAGTACCTTCCGTTCCATCACAGGCCCACCTGTTACCTGTTTGCTTAACCTTCCACCTCCAGCACCCAAGCTGCGATTGTAGAGCTGGAACCCTTCAACCCTGCCAAGTGGCTGCCTTGAGAATTAAATGAGTTAATATATAGAAAGACTGATCAGTGCTTGCAAGTAGAAGGCGTGGGGTAAGTGTTCACTCATGCTGTGGATGTTACCACTCCTGCCCTCTGCATTCCCACCCCAGCTCTAAAATGCCCTTGCTGGGCAGGCATCCACGCTTGCTGCCTTCTACGCTGAGTCCTCCCTGGGCTTTGCAGCGAGCAGAACCAGCTGTCTCATCTGCTCCCTTGCCATGGTTGGTCCCAGGCTTTTGGAAGGCCAGAGGGGGCCCCAGCTCTTGCATCCTTCTACTTTAATTGAAAATCAGTTTGCTTATCAACAAACAGAAAGTCAGCCTGCAGCAAAGCATCGATTTTTTTGACACAGGGCTCAGGAACCCTAGACCTGCCCTGCCTGCTCTCACCTAAGGACAGGCTGGGCGCCAGCGATGACTCCCCACGGTGCTTAGGCAATGGCCCTTCTTTAGGTTTGGCTACAAGAAGTTGTGTGTGTGGCTGCACACACAGGCAGGACTGCTGGATAGCTCTTTGTGTGGCTAAGTGTATTCGTTTCCTAGGGCTGTCATAACAAATTACCACAAACCAGGTGGCTTTAAACAACAGAAATTTATTCTCTCACCGTTGGAGGCTGGAAGCCCAAAATCAAGGGGCTGGCAGGACCGCTCGCCTCCCAAAGTTCTAAGCAAGGATCTTCCTTGCCTCTTCCAGCCCTGGTGGCTCCTGGCGTTCCTTTTCTTCTAGATGCATCACTCCAGTCTCTGCCTCTGTCTCTGTGTCTCTGTGTCTCTGTGGCCAAACCTCCCTCTCTTTTCTCTTATAAGACACCAGTCATTGGGTTTAGGGCCCACCCTAACTCCAGAATGATTTCATCTCGAGGTCTCTAATTATGTCTGTGAGGACCCTACTTCCAAATAGGGTCACATTCGGAGGTTCCGGGTGGGCACAACTTTGGAGGGGATCACCATTCAAACTGCTACACTAAGTATTCGGGAAAGGGGGAAAGTATATTTATTATTTTCTAACAATAAGAGCCAAGGCGATCGTCTCTGAGAAAGTTTGCTTATTTCTCAATTTCTCTCCCCTGCTCTGAAAAAGGTTTGATGCAATTTACAGCAAACACACAGGACAGTTGTGTTGAACCGTTAAAACACAACCACAGGAGTCAGTTAATGAACAGGCAGAGGAGAGGGACCAGATATCCAGGATACGAGCTGCTCAGGTCTGGTTCTAGATGCCCTAGGAGTTAAAGGAGCAATAGACACGTGATGGATTATCGCCCCAACCTTCTACCGTCAGGAGAGAGACAAACTGTCCCTTGATCCTGAGCGGAGAAAGGAAGTTTCCCCAGGGGAACCCAGAATTTTAGGAAAACACAGAGGCCTTCCTGAGGGAGGTTCTTCTAGCGCCTCCCAGTAAGGGCTGAGACACAATGTGAACTTGTCTTCGCACAAAGCACGAAGAGGGGAGGCCTGGGTCCCCGCAAATAGTTTTGTGATAAAAGGATGAAGTGCAGGGAAATTTAAAGGGTTAATACTTATCAGATCCCTTGGGGCAGGGGGGTAGTACCTCTTGGGGGATGTGAGTAGTACCAGTTGCTGTGTTCGCCACTTCATAAATATTTTCGCAACTCGGTCTCATCAGTATAGTTCAGGTGCAGATCTAGGCCTGGGGCACAGAGATAAGTCGAACACGTTTCCTGATCGTAAAGCAGCTGGGGTCCAGCAGAGAAAGGCCAAGTTGCAGTTGCTGGGAGGGCAGGAGCTGGAGAGCAGGCAAATCATAGATGAGGTCATCGAGAAGTTCCTAGACTTTCCATGGTGACCATCTCATAATGTATGTCAATGTCGAATCACTATGTTGTACACCTGAAACTAATATAATACTGCATGTCAACTCTACTTCAATAAAGAAAAGAAGTACTCCAAAGGTGGGCCTCACTGAAATTGCATCCTGGGAGTCTGGAATGTAAACCTTCAGGCTGCAGCAGGTTCAAATTTTTTTATTACCTGAATCCTGGTGGGCAAAAATAATTGTATTTCTTTCATATCTACGTTTTGTTTTTACTCAAGCCTGCATTGTCTGATGTCAAAACTTGTTCTAATCATGGCCAGAGACATGCAGCAGCCAGCTTTGTGATTTTTCTCAGATATTGCAGACCCAAACTCGGTCAATTTCGTTATCTACCCAACCCTAGGAACTTGATCCCCTGAGCTGATGCTAGAACCAGGGGGTTCACCCAGCCAGCACGTGGACCGCAGGGTCAGTGAGACGGAGTTGTACTTCCCTGTCTTTACCTGTCTCTGCTCTGGGCTGGTGTTTTATGAGATGCCACGTACCCTATCTGGTCCCTGGCTCCATGGTGTCATCCTCTGAGGTGTCACCAGGTCTTCATCTGATCCCCAGCTGGAGGGACCCCTCCTCATCCTCTGCTGTGGCATCAGCTCTTTTTCAGTTAATTCTGTATCCTATTCAATAGCTAGTGTGCAGGCTCAGGGAGTCTCAGCACCCTCGCCTCTGCTCTGGGACCACAAGAATTGTGGGGGCTTCTCTCTCCCTCTCACTCAACAGCACATTCACATCTCGTTTCTAACCCTTGCCTGCCACACCTTGATGGCTCAGGGGCCACCTCTCTGATACACCTGGGAAGTGAGGGATGCAAGTACTCCCTGTTCTAAGTACCCCAAGCTTAAAGAGAGTCTGCTTCTCCCCAAGGGACTTGGTCTTAGGAGGCAGAAGGGCAGACTCCTCCAGGGGCACAGGGTAAGGTTACAGGTGCAAACTCCGGACCCAAGTTGGTTGAGTTCAACTCTCACCTCTACCGTTTATTAGCTGTGGGACTTTGGGCAAGTCACCGAAGAAGTTCCCAAAGCTCTTTGTCTCAACTCCTCGTCTGTAAAATGAGGATTATACGGCTCTGCCTCATAGGTTTAAGTGGGACAGTCCACACAAATGTAAATATATACGCGTGTCTCTTACAGAACAGAACCCAGCACTCTGTACGTGTTAGATAAGCCTGAGCTGTTAGGATTCTTAGGAATAGTATTCGAATTAGCGTTATTCCATCTTCATCTCTTTTCCCTTCCCTCTCCCCCAAGAGTTCAGAATCTCTCATCTTATCCCTTGAGATAAGGAAAAACCGTGCTCACACTGCAATCTTCCCATTACTTTCACCTACACCCAGACTACAGCTTTTTTTTTTTTTTTGGTTTAAAATGTAAGGCTTTGGCATCTGTGTTTTCAGTGGCCCTTGATGGCCACCCCCATCGATGCTGACTTCATGTTTCACAGTCCAAATGGAGACAGATATGGGGTTAAGGTGCAAGTGGGGAAGTGCGTGAGTTGAGTTCCCACGTCGTCCCTTCACTGGACAGTCTCCAGGAACCCTGGCTGGGAGGTTTGGGGAGAAGCTGTGCCCTGGCAGTAGCCGCATCTCTGCGTTTGCACTCCCGTGCAGGACTCAGGAATTGACATCGGGGACGTCACTGCAAGGAAGGCTCTGAGGAAACAGCTGCAGTGCAAGACCTTCCGCTGGTACCTGGTCAGCGTGTACCCAGAGATGAGGATGTACTCGGACATCATTGCCTACGGGGTGGTAAGGAGCCGGCCCCTCCAGCCTCTACTGGGACACAAACAGAGAGCAAGACCAGAGAGAGGCGTAGAGAGTCAGGGGAAGGAGGGAGAGAGCCGCTCGGCCTCAGATAAGGCCCTGCGGTAGACCTGTGGGTGCGAGGCAGCCTTTGCTTTCATAGCTGGAACCCCTCTATGCCCTGGACAGAGCCGCCTGGTCTCTCCTGTAGAGTCCACAGAAATTTGGCTCCAGCCCCAAACCTGCACATTCCACTCCATAAAACAAACACCTGCAGTTAGGTTAAGATTGCAAGAAAACCTAACAAACACCCACTCTTTCCCAAGCGTGGGTGCCTGGGGTTCCAGCCACCAGCCTGCATGCCTCCCCACCCACAGGGCTTATGCTTCCACTCACACGCAGAGCCGCCCGGAAGGGAGTTCTGGGGTGTACGAGCTTCCTGAGTTCGCTGTGCTTTGAGGGGTGTTCTAGGACTGCTTGTTGATCGGCACAAAGCATTCCTCCCATTGGAGGGGCAGAGCGCAGGGTTTGGATCCAGTCTTGACCAGACTCCTTCCCTGGCAAGTGTCTTAACGTCTGTGGGCCTCAGTTTCTTAATATGTTAAATGGGGTAAAATAATACTGTCCTCACTGGGTAGAAGAAAGTCTAAGACACAGAAAGGTATTTTCTCTAAGCTTAAACTTCTTTGAATGTGATAAACTCTCCCAATCTTCCAATATTCCCAGGACCATGCAACTCTCAAGGTATTGTAAAGGATACCTGATTGACTTGTGCCTCACCTGGTTTTTGCTGACTGAACACATACAGTTTTTCTACTGACAGTTCAGCCCTCAAAACTACCCCCGGGGCGACCTCAGTTACCCTCCGTGTTACAGATGGGGAAACAGAGAGGCAAAGTGACTTACCCATGTTCACACAGGTAATCAACAGTGAGACAGAGTCTAAAACATCAGCTTCTGACATCGCTCTGATTCCTCCCTTCGGAGAGCATCCCCTCAGACCTGTCAATATCCCAGGATGAAAACTTGAAGGAAGAACTGAGGCCTCTTCCCTTGATGACCTGGGGTCAGAACTGAGTTCAAGACCTGCTTCAGCAGGAAGATAATGGGCACAGCATCTCCCTTGGAGGGAAGAGTCCTTCCTGAAGGGTTGGCCTCAGTGTTGTCTGTGGGCCTCCCAACTCTAACATCCTAGGATTCTAAAGGAGAGAGAGCCGAGATCCTGGGAACTCTCCCTTCTCCCCTTCCACAGGGCCTCTGTAGTCCTGGAGGCCAGCCTGTAGGAGGGGGGGTCATATCCTCCCACAAGAGTCTCCATGGCATGGTTGACATGTTCTGAGAGAACCAGCTGGTGGCCTCTTGCTTCTCTACTTCTCAGTCTGGTATAAATCGGGTATCAGAAAACTCCTCAGCTGGTGCTGCCCTGCTATTACGTGAGCCGCCAGATCCTGTTGTCACCATGGAAACACATTGGCCCGTGAGGTGCCCATTAGCCCCATCTACCTCCCCAGAACCATCCTGAAGACACAGCAGCTACTGGTGCCCCCACACTGCTCAAGTTGTGTGTGCTGCTTGGCCATCGTTGGGCCCAGTCCAAAAGGGATAGCTGTGCTTCCGTGGCTCCAGAGGAACTATTGGCCCCAAACCTCTGTGAGCCAGGGCAAGCTTCTGGATTCATGTTCTCACCTAGCTGTCAGCTGTGGCTGAACAGTATTAGCCAAACTCAGCCAGAGAGGCAGGGAAAGCAGTAACAGTGGAGGTGTGTGCATGTGGCCATTGCGATTCTGGGTCTTGGCCAAAGGCATTCTTGTGTTCTGACTAAAAGACTCTCATTTTATGAACACATATAGCAGATTTACCATGCAGCCGCCTCACTGCCATACCCAGAAACCTTCAGGTGGTCAAATAGGAGCTTATACAGGGCTGTGATCTCGACCTCTCTGAGTCCATAGCTGGTGCTGTTTTCCCTCTGTCGTGCTGAAAAGCCACCCACTCATCATCCCAGAGGGCTCAGCTGTGTTAGCCATCCCTGGAGCTGGCAGAGGTCTCTGACCCCCTGCATATTCATCTTCCAGCTACTGTTCAGGCCCTGGCCAGCCTCCCCTCTCTCCTGCCTCCTCCATGGGCTGGGCTCCGACATGAGCAGAGATGCGCTTGCTTGTCAAGGAGCATAAAGAACTCTTAATGGGAGCAATAGGGTGAAGCTGTGCAAAGCAGGATGCAGCCACAAGAGTGTGAGGATTTTCTGGGGAATCATTCTTCCTGGTGATTATTTTTATTCTGAAATGGAGAGACCAGATATCTTCTCAGGGACGGAGTCTCTGTTTTCTTGGTCCCTTCCAACTCATGCCTCAGCCGCATGGTGCAAGTCAAATAACCCCTGGGACAAGTGGCAAGTCTATATAACCCAGCCCACTAATCCACTAATATGTCCCATTAGTGCCTCCTGCAGACGGAAGAGCCTGTGGACCCCATTGTGAGGGCATGGGCTTCCCTTGGATCATTGTGCTTCGTGTCTGAGGGACAGGGTGGCCTTGGATTAGCCCCAGCACTGGTGCTGACAGTGGAGCTGGAGTAGCATCTGGAGACAGGCATGCCTGACTTCTAACATTAGCCTTGCTACTTACTTGCTGTGTGACTTTGACAGTTTGCAAAACCCTGAAGCTTGTGGGCACAGCATTGCACGGGCATCTCTCATGGTCTCAGGAGGGTCGCCATTTGCGTGATGGGAGGAGCTTGGGCTTTGGAGGAGACAGACTCCAGCTCTGCCACTTGTCCAGCTGGGATGACATTCATGTGGGAATGCCACTCATCTGTTCATGGTATTCCTTTATTCATTCCTCTTGTCTTCACTGTCTAATCTGTGCCGGGGCCGGCCCGTGTCACAGGCAGTGAGGAAGACTGAGACCCAGTCTGGTGACTAGTAGAGAAGACAGACAAGGGAAGAAGCAAGAGAAATGGAAGTGCTGGGGAAGCATAGAGTGGTGGCCTCTCATCCAGACTTAGGTCAGCAAAGGCTTCCGGAGTGATGGAGAAGCCGAGAACCAGAGGAGGAGGAGGACTCAGTCAGGCAAAGGAAGCTCGATGCGGTGGGAATGGCATCACACAGTGAGAGGGGAGGCAGAGCATCTTACTACTCCACACTTCCTTCATCCTTAATAGAGATCATGCTACTGGCCTGTCTGGGTTGTTTTGAGGATTAGGTGGGATAACTCAGGGAAAGCACTTCCATGGTACCCGGCGCATAGATGCAATCAATGGGAGATGCAATCAATAAAAGCTAGCTTCCCCACATGGCTTTCAGGAAGGTTATAGCAGCAATAATAGCAGCTAACAATTAGTGCACATTTGCTCTTTGCCACGCTCTGTGCTAAGCACTTGTAGATACCGTTCCACTTAATCCTCAAAGCAGCCCTATGAGGTCAGCACTATCATGGTCCCTGTTTGAGAGAGAAGGAAACAGACGAGAAGTTATATTGCTTTGTCCGTGACCACACAGCTGCAGCCGGGATTCCAACTCAGCCTCTCTCTCCCGACCGCATCAATCGACCACCTGCTTAATGGGGGAGGGATGCCACAGAGCCTCAGAGGACTTTATCAAAAAGCGCCACCCACCCCCTCCCCGAGAGGTCAGCTTTGAGAACCCACGAGAGAGCCAAGGCTGACATCAGGGCACTCTGGACCTTTTTCTTTGCAACAGCAATTAGGAGGTCTCACTAATGGATTACAGTGCTCAGCTTTAGATGTGACACCCAGGCCACTGGGCTGCAGGAAAAGTCCAAAGTGTATTTACATATGCTCCTCCCACACAGGCAAGCCAAATAGTTGTTTATAATAAAGGATTTGCTGCATAGATGCCTCTGGGGCCCCTGCCTAGGGAGCTGACACATGTTCATGTTCCTTTAGAACCCCTAAACTGCAAGTTTGGGGTTGAGCTGCAACCCCCAATAGAAGAAGCTCGAGAGGAAAGAACTGGACTCTGGTCCTTGTCTCCTGTCCAGAACAGGGTGTGCAGAGAGCACACGTGTGCCTCTGGTTATCTGCTCCTTTTCATGGCCCTTACTTGGGCTCATTGAACCCCTGCCACAAGCCATCAGGACTGCCAAAGCTCAGCCACCGCCTGTCTCTGACCTTCCCCTGGATAGATGACCCCTGTGGTCCATTGCCCTGGTCTTCCTTGGATTCCAATCTCCATCTCCTGTTCTAAACACAGTGCTTTTGGTTGCTAAGAAGAGCTATTTAAGCTAGCACAAGTTAACATGGGTAAAGGTCCCACAAACTCTCTTATGGGCACAGGAACTGACGTCCAGCTGGACAGGGGCTCTTGAGCTGGGAAGCCACTAAAACTACAGCAGGGGCTGGAAGATCTCTCTTGTCTCTAATTCTGTCTGCCTCATGCTTCATCTCATCCTTGATCTCATTTGGGTTTCTCTGCTTACGAATGGCCCAAAGACCCCCCACACCCAACCTATATGGCCTCATGATGCTAGTGGCCACTACCCACTGACCACGGTCTCTGGGTCTCTCATCTAGACTCCTAGGACAAAATAAGAGAATGGTGAGAGGGTCACATTCCAGAGAGAAAAAGAGGAGACAGAAGGAAAGAAATAAAATTATTAATTCATTCTAAACTGCAGATTTGTGCCCACTGTGGTCTATTCAACTGCAGTAGGTGAGCAGGGCCATGTACACACCCTAAGCTGCCCTTTCCAAGGGCGAGAGTGAGCTTACGCCAGAAGGGGACATTGAGTGTTGGCTTTCTGACCTAGACATGGTAAGACATTGTTCATGGTACCCGGACATTGCTTCTGTTGATTGCCGTGTGCCAGGTGAGGGTAAGAGATGCCTCTCTCTTCTCCTGCTTCCACCCTGGCTCCCTTCTCTCTTGTTCACCTCCCAGACCTCCCACTCTGGAGAACCCTCATCAGCTGGGCCACCACTGGGGCCTGGCCAACCGCTGCTGGATCTGCAGGAGGCAGAGAAGGCCTGGTCCCAGAGCCTGTCCCATGCCTGAAAACAGCTAATATCTTGCCTGCTTCTCCCAACCCTCAAGAGCAAAGACTTCTATCCAGGGACCCTTGAAGGCCATTGTGCCACCCTTGTGGAAATGGAGAGGGTGGAAAACCTAGCACCATCTTATATGTGTGCATGAGCGTTTATCTCTTATTTTTACTTAGACAGTCCCAGCTCCCCAAACCCAGCTCGCTGTTTAACAACATGTGAATGCTTCCCCTTCAAAGGAGACTGGTCTTCCCTCAGCACCTTTGGGCCAGGCAGAAGGTGGTGCTTGTTGGTTTCCACAGTATTCAAGGGGCCTTGGGTTGATTATGGAAATGGAGCCCGTCTCAGTGAAATGCTTGTTGCTCTTGATTTAATGCACTTCTTTCTCTGTTCCTATCTCTTTGATGTGGTTGTCTCTCCTCTGGCTGCAGCTGCAGAACTCTCTGAAGACCGATTTGTGTCTTGATCAGGGTCCAGACACAGAGAATGTTCCCATCGTGTACATCTGCCATGGGATGACGCCCCAGGTGAGTCCCCTGAGACATCCCTGTGCCAGGGGTGTGCACGTGTGTGTCTGCGGTGAGAAAGGATAGCTAAACTCTGTCATGGCTGCTCTGGGCCCGGCCTCGGGGGCTTCTCATTAGGAAGTATCTTCATGAGCCAAAGAGGAGAGTCACACCTGCCTTACCTGGAAGGAGGCTGTGGGAATGGATGCTGGGACACCAGGATTCTCTGGGGTGGGGAGTGAGGAAGGTGATACATTTCTAAAGAAGGACATTTGCCTCCTTTGGACAGGCCGTGAGTAAATCACAGCCCTGTTTCTGGCAGCCATGCCCTTCCCTAGTAGGAGGGACCCCTAGGGTTCTCCCCCAGCTCCCTGACATCTCCCTTCACCATTTCACAACCTTCAGGCTCTGCCCTTTAGTAGATCACAGCTGGGGCCAAAATTTCTAGCCATGAGATCCTTCCTAGCTCTTCTGACCTTCTCCTGGTGGAGAATGAAGGGCTACCAGGAAAATAAGTTATCCTAGAAAAATTCTTCGTTAATAGCCTGGGCTTCGGATATCCAAAGAGGATGTCAAGGCACAGGCAGGAGAAATGGTGTATTCAACAAAGTACAATGGACAACCATTGACCAAGAATGCCATGGACTGACCTGTTCTGAATTGACAGTGTTTTCGGAGTTTACTTATCTCACCTCTAGAAGTGCACAATGATTTTGAAAAAAGATATTTTGGGATAGAAGATACATATATTTGTGCAATTGCAATTCAGTAATTAAAAGAGTTGTTACCCACCAAAGGATATTGTGAAGGATATTGTGACATATGTGTCACCTTGCGTGCTATGCTGAGTTCCTTGCGATTGTCCACTGTGATCTCTACCACCTCATCCATTTTGTGGGCCAAGCTGCTATGACATCATTGACCGGTCAGTCGCAAGTCAGCAGATGACACTATCCCCACACCAGGCAGTATTGCCACTCACTCTTCATCATCACAATGGTGTGACATTTTTAGTGGGTGACTATTTTATGTAAATTTTTTGACGTATACATATATGCAGAAAAGAGACAAACTGTAAATATACAGATTAATGAATTTTCACAGCAAACACATCCCTGTAACCAGCACCCAGATCAAGAAAAAGGGCAGTATTGCCTGATTTTGAATTTTGCATAAATAAGATTATGGGGTATATGCTTTCTCGTGTTGGCTTCTTTCTTT